GGGGAATTCTGGGAGTTGAAGTCCACACATCTTCAAGTTGCCAAGGTTGAGAAACATTGATTTATTCATTTTAGTCTCCTGAAAAGCCCCAGCATTCCTGGCTGGTGACACGAGGATCTGAAGAGCTTGTCCAACGACCACCGCATTTTGCTCTTTGCATTAGGAAGAGGGAAAAAAAAGCAAATGAGCAGTTTTATTGCTGAACTTCAGCAGTATGATCTGGTTTGCTCTCTGGGCTGCAGAATTAGGAGAACTTCCCATTCTGGCTCAGAGCACAGGCCGAGTCCTTGAGGCCTGACTGGGTCCTGCAGAAAATACACTCTGGCCTCGAATTCCCCTCACTGTTTCAGGAGCCTGCATCTTACAGGGTAAGAGCAGCAGGGCGTCCCTTGTTGAGGAAAAAAACATGGAAATGATTCAGAGGAATCCCATAGAAAGCTGAGTTGTATCATTCTTAGTCCTGACCTTCGGGTAAGGAATGTCTGCTCTGCAGGAACTCTTTCTGTAGCCTTGACCAAGATCTCTCCTCACCCATGCCTGTAAAATGGGCGCAGCTGTAAACTTTGTGGGAGTTTACCATAGTCAAATATTGCGGGTGGTGATACCCCCTGATTTTAATAACAATATTGATTGTCACTGATAAAGTCACTGCATACGGGCAACTGCAGCATGCTTGAGTCCAAAAGGGAAATTAATTCTGTTTTCCGATGTTTTCAGTTTGTAAGTAGTGCTTCAAATTCGAAAGGTTTTGTATGGATACTCTTGTTTATCTGCAGGTGCTGGTTTTTCCTTCTTTTTCTATGGGTATTTTATTTATTTATCACATTTCTATCCTGCCACAATCTAGAGATGCTCGGCGGGTAAGACTACTTCATTCATAGATGGTACCTTTCTTTAAAAAACATTCCTCATGTTTGCTGTCACGTGCAAAAGGGATGCCTCTGGGAAATGGTGCATATTCCTGAATGGTTTATAAGTATAATTATTTAACCATTTTTAAATAGTCATAGCTTTTCCCAAAATGTGTTGGGCTGCAGCTTCCTTTACACCAACCTAAGGGAGCCTCTTTTTTCCCAGACATTATCAGAACACGTTGAGGTCCACCTTCTGCACTTTTGATCACTGTTACTCAAGTTGCTCTTGTTTTGCATTGCTCCAAATCCCAGAGTGGTGACCAGAATCTGTTCTCCTCTACCCCACCCCATCTTTTAAGAAAAAGCTCCCTATAATAGAGTGGGGGGTGGGGGAGACAGAACTATATGGTGGACTCTGAGTTTTCTTCTTTGCACCACTGTGTTTTTCCATATAAGAATCTTCTTTGTTACTTTTCTGTTGGACTTATAGCTTGGCTGGTCTCTTTCAGGCAGTCATGAAGGAGATCTATCTATCTATCTATCTATCTATCTATCTATCTATCTATCTATCTCTGCTGT